GGATATATTGGCCATCTGCAACACCAAGTTCCATCAAGATCAACTGCTGGAAGAATGCCTTGATAAACGCCAGGCTGCGCGAAATCTTGGTCCGACTAGCCACACCAGGGTCATCTAGGCCGAGAACCCAATCCGAGAGTAGAAGATCAGATGGTTCTGCATCTTCATGCGGGATATTGTCAAGCAGGAGACTCATCTTTCCGTGGATTGCCACTGCCTCAGCATAGTTTGCACCAACAAGACCACGAATCGTTCTGATAACGCAATACGCAGCAATCAACCCGCATTCCCATCCAGAAGGCTGCCCTGAGATTGGCATCTGATAGTAGGTGAAGGTAAAGGGAAGTCCAATACCTGCAAGGAATTCCCGGAAGCCCAAGACTGCATTAGAAAGGCGAACCTTCTGATCAAATAGATAGGAATCGAAGTGATAGAACTTTCCCATCTTGCTGTCCCAAATAAAAGAGGTCCAATGCATGTAATCTTCATGTCGAATACAGCCGATCAGGAACCGGATTCCATACAACTGCCTTCGGGCCTGCAAAGAGCTGGTAAAGCCAAGATGGGCCCTGCAGTTAACCTTCCAGTAGGTATCAGGAAGAAAAGGCGTTTGCTGGGCTCCCCATTTGTTATTGACCTTGATTGAACTGCCTAGAATCTCGAGTTGGTATGGTGCCACTGTAATAACATTCTCAAGGCCATATGTAGCTGTGCGTAAGAGTGCAATAACACCATCGCCGTAAAGGTAGTTCTCGAGCGTGATGCAATTAAAGACAGTCCACATATCCGTAGCATGTAGAGTCCAGCTGACAGGGGAGATAGAAGAATTGTAGTAGGGATGCTTAACATCTTTCAGTTTCTGGTTCAGCTCACGCTCCTTATCTTCGCTAGATAATCTGATCGGATGGTCTTCGTTGTGGTGGGACCAATCGGTTCGTGGATGAGTGAATGCAGGCTGTTTATTCATAACTCGACCAATGTCATCATTAATTCCCTCGGAGGGATAAACAAATGGTAGCTTGCCGCACTCTCCATGTACAAGTCCAGACCATAAGGGGAGCTTTGTGCCCTTATACGTGACGGGTTGGATGTATCTGGCCACCGGATTTTGGTCGGAAGCTGCAGAGGAAGAAGTTGCATTATTGCGGCGGGCAGCACGGGCATCTCTAGATGAAGACATGTCGAGCAGGTGTAGACCAAGTATGTAGTATCTGATCCGATAGATGCAGTCGTTTTGCAATAGAGGGAATATCTGTTGTAGGCGAAGCAGGTGATTAAGAAAGAGACGGCGCCCCAGGACAGATGATGTTGTCGCAGCAGGGTTAACTGTAGTCGGTCAATCGGGGGGCTCGTTGGAGGTCGAAATGAAGGGTTCGATGGGTTATTTTCTGATGTCTATAGTAA